TTCTTCTTTACACTCTCTCTGTAAGGGCGAGTAGATGCTGCTATTCATTCTTCCTCTGCCCTCTTTGATTCCATCGAGGCGACGTATCATGTTCCTTTTTGTCGTGCTGTGGCGGTATTATTGCTGTGCGGTGATCCAAAACTCCTTTTGAAGCTGTTACCATGGAAACAGTCTTGTCTGATGAGGTGTGTTGTTGTGTCGTCCTCGTGTCTCAGGTGCTGACTAAGGACCTCGGTGGAAACTCCAAGTGTTCAGAGTTTACAGCTGAAATCTGCCGTCGCATCCAGGACATGGACTGAGTCTGCAGTGAGGGAACAGCTGTGGGAGTCTCCGCCCCCACACAAAGAGCCACGCCTCCTCCTCCTCCTCCTCCTCTCCTCCTGCCTCCTCTTCTGCTGACTGGTTTTACATCTCTGAAGCTGCAGAGACACAGTCAGCTGGGAGGCCTGCTGCAGCTTCAGTCTTTTGTTTTTTGCATTCTACTGTAATTACATGAAGAAAAAAATCTGTTCTTTCTGTAATGACATGATGGATGTGGAGGGGGCGGGGCTTCGGTAGCAGCTACCTTGATTTAGTTATCATGATGAAACATTCACAGTAAACATGCGCACAAATGTCTCATGACCAAGTTTGAATGAAATAAGTTTCAGGAGTGTGTCTTACTCAAAGGATCATCTTAATAATATCAATAGTATCTGCACTCCGCTTCAGGATATTTGCTATTTTTTTAACGGTGATGCAGTGTAGCCGTACTGAAATGTCTTCTTATTTATTGTTTCCTGTTACCATCTCATGCTGCTTTCTTCAGTTTCAGAGATCCACCAATATATAAACGTCTATATAAAGAAAGAGAACACACTGCTCCAGGTCTCTCTGCTGTTTTACACATTCACATCATCTTAGGTACAACTATGCTGCTTCTTACTGACTGCTTTAAATACATTCAAAACTCATTAAAAAGGGCTTTTTGAAAAAGAGTTTTCAGGCTCTTCTTTTGACAAGTATTACCTTAAATATGAGAATAAATCCACACGGCTTTTTCAGCATAAAACAAGGCATCATTAGGATTAATACTTCATACAGTAATGAAGCCAACATGCTGTAAGAATGTTAAAATATCTGCTCCTCACATTTTCTTATTCCAATGTGTGCTTGTTTCACTTCCAAGTGCCACTGCTGCATTTCTGCCCTGCTTTTTGTCTCTCAGACTACATACTAAAGACGACTGCTTTAAAGGTCTAACACAAATATGTGTCCCTAGTCCGTCTTCAAACCCCCAATGATGAGAAAAGTCCATCCTCTCGTCTTTTGCCTGCTCCACTTTTTAGAAAATGTGTGCTCAAACAGGCCGTTTGGAGATTTTCCCTTCATGACATCACAAAGGGCAGTAACCCTCCCCAAGGTGGGTGACACTCCCACAGCTAGGTGTTTGTTCTGCCCTCTGAGTCTGCCTTCACCGTAAACAATAGGACATGGAGCGAGAAAGCACAGAGACACCCGAGCTCTTCCAGAGAGGGGGCGTGGTCACCGCTGGTAAGACACCACACGCTCACCCAGGTGCATGCTGGTCCTCTACCTGCCTGTCCATCTTGCATAGAAATCCTCAGGTGCCCACTGTGTTACCTAAATACCAAACAAATCATAAATACTAATTATGCAAAACTAAATTTACTGAACTGATACCTAGAGAAAGAAGATCTCAGAAATATATTCTAAATAAATAAAACATCTTGAATAACTTAAAGGTAACTAAAAACACAGATTTTCTGCTGTACTGCTCTACTCTGGAATTTAAAATTAAAAGCCTTTAAGAGGTCAATGTATCAACTTTGAGAGGAAGGGGAGCAGGGGGTAAACTCACTCCTTCTGCTGAAACATGATACAATGTTTGCCCCTCATACAATAAAGCCCTGTGTGCTGCAGGCTGTGTATGGGACATACATGCAGCTCTATGGGGAGATGCAGACACCAGATCTCAATAGGTCAGTTTTTTCAAAATCAAAGTCAATTGATACAGAGAATAGTTTCTAAACATTTTCATAACATGTAGTCATCAGGTATTATCAGAAGTGTTGTGACACCTGTGATGGGCCAATATTATTTCCATCCTGAGCCTTATTCTTGTTTTGTCGCATATCAAATTATTCTCATTTAGGACGAAGCACTGAACCTGGCATACCACAGTGTTTGTGCGGTGGTGCTTGGGATACCTGGGCCAGCACATGAGGGGTGGTCATCCCGTCTTGTGTTGTCACCCTGCATCAGGGGAGAGTGTCCTTGAACCTGGTGAAGCTTATACAGGTTTCCATCTCCCTCCCCTTAGCTGGAGCTCTATCAGGTCCACAGCTGTGTCCATTCCACACATTTTTGTTAGAGCAGGATGAAACAACATAAAAAGCTCCTGCAAAGTGTGATGTCTTCCAAAATAAAGACCTTTAAAGGAAGGGATGCTTCTCACGTTCATAAAGCTTTAATTGGTTTAAAGAACGTGTGCCCCGCTGGCCTCCCGTGTTTATGAACAGGGTGTAACTTCCACAGAGGATTTAGGGAAGTGTCCTCCTCCACCCTCCGAGGTCAGATAATGACCTCACTAATGTTTATAAACGTCAGCTGGACGTCAGAGTCATCTGGCAGTCCAGCTGTGAGAATCCAGCTGTGAGAGGAGATACCACGTGCCAGCAGCAGCCATTGTTTCAAGAAGTGAAGTTACTTTCCTTTTGTTTTCAGCAGAGCAGCAAAGACTCTGAGTTTTAAATCCTTAAAGTACCGGCAAACTTCTCTCAAACTGGCAGCCCACCCCCCCCCGAGGGCGCGCCCCGGACACGCCTCCCTGAGCATGACGTCACAGAAAAAAACGCCCCCTGTTTCCTGGCTGTGACAAGCTGCGCGGTACAGTCGGAAAAACACAGGAGATAAACCTTCAGAATAAAAGCCCATACTTTATTTAAAAAAAAATGTTATATAAAAATATATTAAGAAAAAAAGTTCAAAAACAACAAACACACACACGTAAACACACTGAACTTAAACTTAAACAACATGTTTGATAACTGAAGCTAAAATAAAAATGTGGCTTTAATAAGAAACAAGAAAATAAGCCATTGTGTGCCTACAAAACTACTAAAGATAAAATAATATTACATAAGTGTTCGTCTTTGACACAAGCATACCGAGTAACACATAGCCTGTCCTTACAGTTTTTTCCCTTACTTAAAATGTTTTTTAGGGTATTTTTTAATGAAGTTGCTTTTTTTACGATACAGAGACACAAAAACTAAAACTAATATAAACGTTACTAATACTCAGCATTTCCACATAATAAAAACTTAAACAGAATTAAAAACTAATTCAAACTAAACTGAAAAAGAAAACAAAAAGTCAAAACGAAAATGAAAACAAAAACAAAAACTCATGGAAAATCTCGTTTTCTCGTGCTTCCGTTCTTCTTTTATTTTGAAGAGGCCTCACCGGATGTGTGTTGCGCTGTAGTCAAGGTAACTTGAAGCTCGATCGTTTCCTGCTCCCCGTTTCGGTCTTGTTTCAGTAAAGCCCACCACAGGTCAGGACCACTGTTCCCAGTAAACCCAGCGGAGAGACGGTGTGACGACGGGAGTGCGAGGAGGACGGCAGGTTTCCGTTAAAGCACCGGGAGCACCGGGAGGAAGGGCGGGACTGAGAATGGCGAAAACGTACGACTATCTGTTCAAGCTGCTGCTGATCGGAGACAGCGGCGTCGGTAAAACCTGCCTGCTGTTCCGGTTCAGTGAAGACGCCTTTAACACCACCTTCATCTCCACCATCGGTGAGTCCAACACCCCCTCTCTCCCCCCTCCCTCCCGGTTTGACGGACGGTTAACTCAGGTGTTAGGTAACGTAACGTCCCGGAGCTTACAGGCGGGAGGAGGGGGGGGAGGAGGGGGGGGGGCTCACAGTCCAGATGTTATCTTCAGAGAGGAGATCATCAGTGGCTCTTTGATCACCTGTAAAAAAAGAAGTCAGTATACCTTTCACCCTTTCTTGAGAATTGAAAAAAAAAAAAAAATTCTGTTCAAAATTGTTTTAAATAAATATATAAATAAATATATATAAATAAATAAATAAATAAAAATATATATAAATAAATAAATAAATAAAAATATATATAAATAAATAAATAAATAAAAATATAAATAAATAAATAAATAAAAATATATTTTAAAATATCAGTCTTGGCTATTAAACCCTGTAACGGGCTTTAGACAAACAAAAAGTCACAGTATTTTAGAATAAAACCTTAAGGACAATTTTAATGTGTTTATTTTATTTATTAAAAACAAGGTTATTCAATCAGCTGCACAATCAAAAAGTTTGGTTTCTTTTTATTCAACAAATAAATCCGTCTGTGACACCTGGACATCATGTCAAGACTTCAGACTACGTCATTTGCATCCATTAAATGAAGTGATTTATGTAGTAATGGCATTAAAATAACTTAATGTGTTAATTTAACAAAGGAAATAATGAAATAAACACATTTAGAAAAAAAAAGTATTCAATTAATAAAGGAGATGGAGTTACGTCACAGCTGTCGGATGGAAAATCTGACCGAGATCATCATCATCATCATCATCATCATCATCAGCCTTTATTTAAGACTTGAAGACTTGAAAATCTTTGAGGTTTCCCTCATTTTCAAAGACGTCGAGATACAAAAACAAACAATTTGCAACAATTAAGAACAAATCAAATTTGTGTTTATAAAAAACAATCACACGCTGACGTCTGACAGAGTTGACAACATTCATTTAACAGCTCATCTGTGGCGAGTTGCCATTCCAGCTTTCAAAGTTGCTTAGCGGTTTCTCATTGCTAACCAAACCACAGAGCGCGTAGCTGACATGATTGGCAGGTGGGCGGGATGTAACAGTTCGTCTGGAGGCTTAAAACCCACCTCAGCTCCAGCTCTCAGCCTGTCGTCAGGTTGACTGAAAGTTAGAGTGAGACAGGATTTCCGGCATGGCGGCAGCGGCTGCTGCTGATGAGCCATGCGTGACATCACTCAGGCTAATCGTTGAATTCTGAATATGATCTAAACCTGGATAAGGCTGATAACCAGAATACTCAAGTCCATGTAAACACACTGAACGACTTCCTCTTGTCCAGACAGTTCTGATGTTCTGAATATCAGCACAGCTTTCAATCAATCAATCAAGATCATCAGACTGTGAGTGACATGTGATTCCTGGTCCTGCAAATGAACCAAAGAAAATCTGTAGTCTATTCTCAAACCGTCTGCACATTCCTGTTCGGTGATTTTCATGTTTTTTTTTAACAATAGGACAAACAAAAGAGCTCTTCTTTTCTGTCAGGAGATCTCCATCTTGTTTTCTAGTGAGCATGTGTGCAGAACACAACGATCTATTCTTCCTCCATTCAGTGTGACTAAAAGTGCTTTCTGTCACTGCTTAAGTTCATCCTGTACCAGCAGGTCAGAGGTCACAAGGCACACGAGAGCTGTCCCACTGAACACACAACATTTAACCCTTATGTAGCTGCAAACTTCCCACCACACACACACACACACACACACACGCACACACACACGTCTTCCTCTGTGTGCTTCCTGTTCGTCAGAGCTAGCAGAGCCGAGTGTGTCTGCCTGGTCGAGACAGGAAGTGAGACTGTCTTCTTCACTGTGTGTGTGTGTGTGTGTGTGTGTGTGTGTGTGTGTGTGTGTGTGTGTGTGTGTGTGTGTGTGTGTGTGTGTGTGTGTGTGTGTGTGTGTGTGTGTGTGTGTGTGTGTGTGTGTGTGTGTGTGTGTGTGTGTGTGTGTGTGATCCACCTGCTTCACTGTATTTGGAGCCGTTTCTCTGTCGCAGTTTGAAATGAGGACAAGAGCAGCACCAAGTTCTGACACGTTCTTCACTCGGACGCAAACACAAGACGTTAAACTTTATGTGTATTAGGTTCTCAGATGAATCCGACCAAAAGGTAAAGGCAGGGTCGGTCATTTTCAAAAACTAGCATGATTTTGAAAGTAGCATTCCCTCAGTGCCACGCCCCTCCCCCCTCTGTGCTCCCTCTAAAGCCACGCCCCCTCCCCTCTGTGCACCCTCTAAAGTCACGCCCCCTTCCCTCTGTGCTCCCTCTAAAGCCACGCCCCCTCCCCTCTGTGCTCCCTCTAAAGCCACGCCCCTCCCCCTCTGTGCTCCCTCTAAAGTCACGCCCCCTTCCCTCTGTGCTCCCTCTAAAGCCACGCCCCCTCCCCCCCTCTGTGCTCCCTCTAAAGCCACGCCCCCTCACTTACATGCACTCCTAGTACTCCGACATACGTTTACCTAACGATCTGAAACTTTGCCCACATTTGTCCAGCATTGTGACACTAATGGAGAGTTTTAAAATGAGGTCACCTTTAACCTTATTCCCCCCCTTGTTTTACTTACTTTACTTTGACCCAGGATCGTTTGTGTTTATTCTCAAGACACAGAGGTATTTGAAAACTCTCGTGTCAGGGTTCACTGCATCAGCCAGAGGGACTCTGTTTGGATGCTTTCAGGTACTTGAGTCTGAGCAGAGCCAAGATTGACGGCCTGTCAGCGAGGATCAGTACCAGGATTCCTCGAGTGGACACTGCTTAGCAGGGTTTGAACTTGTAAAAAATGATCTTAACTTCTGGTCTGAAAACACAGACAGTAGCTCAACGATGGAGTTTGAGGGCTTCTCGTTGAAGACTTGCTCTGCTTTGCGTTTACTCATCGACTAACCATTTGGTCGACTTATTTTTGGGGCTGCATGAAACAGCAGAATACTGATTTTCTTAACTTCAAAATAAAAGTGACCACGTTTCATTAAAGGCTTTATATGCTTTCACACTTAAATATAATATAAATCAAGTATATCCTCTGAAAATAACTCTGTAACTCAGTAATGACTGTCTACAATGGGTGTAACACCCGAGTCCCACTGTCTGTGATGTTTTCAGAGTCATATCTTCAGTTTGTTTACATCGCCAGGACAGCAGGCTGACTCCTCCCCTCACGTATAAAAGTTGTTTAATTGAGGGACGAGAGAAAAGAAGAATAACATACTGTACTCACTGCTTAACTGTGTTTCTAGATCACGCTCATTTCAGGTACATTTACATGCAGTGTGAAGATACCAGCATAATGAAGATCACTAGCATTAGCATGCTAACACAACAATGCAGCGTGAGTTGTTTTGGTTTCATGCTGGTGCTCAAGGGCGACATCTGCTGGATCAAAAAGTCACATTCTGCCTTTAAAGTGTGTGGCTTTACATACTTTGTGTGTGATGATGAGTTGACTGGAGGGCTGCTCATTAAATCAATGACTCTTTCTTCTAATATCCTTCAGCCCTGGATGACAGGAAGCTGTCTGAATATCTCCACCTGTCCTCAGTCCTCACCTGTATTACCCCCTTATTGATGTCACGTCTGTACCTCTTTGGGACACCCCCCCCCCCGCTGCATAGTCGTGATGTCATCAGAAGTGAACCGGCCATGTGTGTCTGCTAGTTTTTTTTCTCTCAGTTCAGCTGCTGATACTTGACGAATTTTAAATATGCTCCCACAATCCTTTGCTGCTGTGGTCGGACAGAGGATGCACTGTCACCACGCTGCTGGGGTCTCGTGAGAGTCAGCTGACCTCTGACTGTGTGTGTGTGTGTGTGTGTGTGTGTGTGTGTAAGTGGGAACAGGCCTGTTGTATGTGAGAGATGTGACACAGATCTGTCCGATATGTCAGCTCACTTTTATTTCTTTATTCATTTGTTGATCATGACTCGTGATGACTCGGATCGATCGTTTGGTCTAAGAAGTGTCAGAAGACGATGAATCCAGCTCAAAGAAATCACAAAATGTGTCTTCTCTTTGTCCGTGTTTGTGTGACTGCATGAAAACATCTGCAGATTTAAATTTCCCATCGAGAACTTTTTTTTTTTTTTAATGAAATCAGATTTGGAGTGAAAACGAAAATCTTCTGTTGAGGAGGGGAAGAGGAGAGCAGAGGAGGAAGGAGGTCTGCGTTTCCGTAACAACCAGCAATAACTCGGTTTCACTTCCTGGTGACGGAGAAGAATGAAGGGAGGAGGAGAAGAATGAAAGTTTAGATCAGCACTCAGTCAGATCTGAATTCTCTCTCCTGCTGTTGATCGAGAGACTTTTTTACGTGTTTAATCTTTTATAAACATGATCATGGACCTTATTGACAGACACACGTATGTCGATGTTTTTCTATCGGGCTGATGCATGAAAATAACCCAAACTTCTCAAATAGCACGATGAGCTGAGGACGCAGCGTCCACCTAAAGATGAAACTAAGAACACTCATAACACATCCGACAGATTGGCACTTTTTGAGCCGTTCCTCAAAATGCATTCCAGTCAGACAACTCGCGTTTGATTTTGTGCAGCAGCAGAACATCGTCTGTGTTTGGCGTCGAGGCTCTGACCTCATCTCCCTCCTCACAGTTTGATTTTACATGCAGACATTTGAGGAGTGATGGGATGATATCTTAAACCCCCCCCCAGTCAGAGCCCACAGGTGTATGCTGCTGTGGTGGAGGTGGAGGTGGAGGTGGTGGGGCACTGGTGCAGGTCAGAGCTGGAAATGAGAAAGATAGCGTAAATAGACCACTAGTTGGAAGGAGGTGTGGTCAGGTGATTGAGGATGATGATGATGAAGCAGGGCGAGTTGTCTGCCTGAGCTAGCTCGCAGGCATCGCTTCATTTCTGCAGACGGCTGCTGTAAATTATGAAGAAATAAATCTCCACTGTATACTAAGTGGGGCTTCACTATGGTGCAGTGGTTAGGACTGTTGCCTAACAACCAGGAGGTTCCAGTCTCGTTGTACAGGAGCCTCTCCGAGTCTACATGTCCTCTCCGGGTACTCCGTCTTCCTCCCACAGTCCAAAGACGTGCTCGTTAGGTTAACTGCTGACTCTAAAGTGTCCGTAGGTGTGAATGTGACTGTGGCTGGTTGTCAGCCCTGTGATTGGCTGTGATTTAAATCTCCTGCACTTTATAAAAAACAATAACAGACTTCTTTAAAGTGTCTGGATGAAGTTCACACATTCTCTGAGTCTTGTCTCTACTAATTCATATTTGACACACACACATTATTATTCTGACCTGCTGATCCACCCTCCTGTGTGTCATTCATAGTCCTCCTTTTGTTTTGACTTCTTCTTTTCCTCCTCCTGAAAACGCCTCCACCGCCCCTCAGCGAAGAAAGATAAACATCAGCAGAACACTCTCAGTGTATAATTCTAGTTATTCCTTACTTTAATAAACTCAAACAAACAAACAAACAGTGATATCTGTTGTTACCTGTCACAGCTTTTTTCTGTGTTGATGCTTTAAAGGGGGGCGCAGATTTGTCCATGGTCCTCTGCTGGTTAAACATGCTGCTCCAGGACACTGAGGCAGGTGGGACTGTGTGTGTGTGAGCTGAGGAGGGTCGGCGTGAGGGTGTAGAGACGGAGGACAGGGGGGGGATTTTGAACCAGCATCACTAAGGGCTCCTCTGCGCTGTGAGCAGGAAACGCTGCAGGAAACGGAGCAGCTGTCAGGCTTCTTGGAAAAAGATTTTCTCTCTGCTGAAGCAGGAAACGACGGTCGCTCACATTTGTTTGTTAAAAATATCTCTGACTTCCTTTTTTAAGGTAGGAGTCACACTCAGTCAGCTGACAGATTTAACATCCAGGGCCGAGATACAAACGCACCTCACTGACCGGGCGGGTGGGGCTGGGAACTTTAGTGTCAATACACAGGAGTATACTATACACAGGCCACACACATGGGTTAATATGTAAAAGTCTCTCTGCTTGGTGATGTCAAGGCGTTACCACGTTCTTTGCCTCTTGCTTGTTGAGGCTTTAAAGTATTTTATTTTGTCCATGACATGACGTGTGGTTTTTGTGTCTGTTAGTGTCATAGTTGTATTATGTGCTGAAAATGTCTTGCTGTCTTACTTTGCTGAAAACAAAGTATTATATGAATCATCATTTTAAAAAAAGACATCCAAAAAGCTTTTTTCCAACACTAAATTGGCACTGATTAATTTGAGTCAGATGTGAGAAAACATCGAAGGTTCTCAGGAAATATCTTCTCATTTCTTTTGGGATAAATTCAAATCTTTGTGATGTGTTTATCCGCAGTGTTTAAATTATCTGCGCAGCCATTTTAGATGTAGACAGAAAGAGGACAAGCATTCATGAGATCAAATGAGGTGGGTTTGTCCTGATGGTGGCGCTGTGAAGGGTTTTGGGTCCTGACTTTGTGTTCCCCTCTCTCTCTCTCTCTCTCTCTCTCTCTCTCTCTGTCTCGTGTTTCAGGCATCGACTTTAAGATCAGGACGGTCGAGCTCGATGGAAAGAAGATCAAACTTCAGATTTGGTGAGTTTGGACTCGTTTAATAAACACACCTCAAATCGATGAAAAAAATGAGAATCCTGTCTCGTTCTGCATGAAGAGTGCGCTGAGATGTTCTGCAGACGCCCGTCCTTCTCACTTTATAAAACGACTTTAAACAGATCAGAGCTGGTTTATTTGCTGAGAGGTCACTAACAGGTCAGAGGTCAGCGCCATGCGTCTTTAAACACAGTGTGCTTCCTGTTCCTGCAGGGACACGGCGGGTCAGGAGCGGTTCAGGACCATCACAACGGCCTATTACAGAGGAGCCATGGTAAGACACGCCCCTCCTTCCTGCTGATTGGACGGAGCAGGTGTCCATCATGCACACCCAGTTGTTTTGAGCTTAGTGCTGTGAAAGAAACGTGTACAATACTTCATATTGATACGCATAAAGGTTTTCTGTGTGTGTGTGCGCGTGCGTGCGTGTGCGTGTGTGTGTGTGTGTGTGTGTGTTTTCTTTACACATCCGGAGCTAAATGTCACCAACTCTCAGGGCACTTCCTGTTCTGATGTCACTTCCTGTCCTTTGTGTTTCAGGGCATCATGCTGGTGTATGACATCACCAACGAGAAGTCCTTCGACAACATCAGGAACTGGATACGCAACATCGAGGAGGTAAACCCCCAACCCCCGAATGACATCCCGCCACATGACATCACTGAACGACGGCGTGGCTCTCTTTGGGGATAGAGTTTGATTTAATGTCGTCGAGCAGAAAAATAACTTTAAAGTTGAACATTTGAGTGACTGTTCATTTCTATGAATCTGGTTCAGAGCTGCCATCTAGTGGCCAACATGTGTAAGCCAAGAGTTAAAAAACTAACCTGTGAGGACTGAAGCTGCTTCTTCTGAATGCAGACTGAAACATGTGAACCCCAAATATTCAGTTTTTTATTATATTTAAAGGAGCACGCCATCATTTCCATTGCTGATAACCTTTGCAACACAACAGACTTTCCAATTCAATCCAAAAAGCTTTATTGTAATCACAATAGATAGTAACAATAATAATCAATATAATAATCTGGATTTGTTTGGACCAGAGAAGGTAGGCAGTTTTAAGGCGACCCCCACACGGTCGTTTTGGACGCCCCTCGGTTTGCCAGATATGAGAGCAGTTATCAGGTCAACAGGTGTTGCAGCGATGGAAGCGGGCAAGAGAAGTGGTTCAGATAGAAGTGATTGTACCGACCTAAAAAGCCTCTGCATGGTTTACAGAAATGTTTGTGTCTTTTTTTTTTTTTCAGCATGCGTCTTCAGACGTGGAGAGGATGGTTCTGGGAAACAAATGTGACATGAACGACAAGAGACAAGTGTCCAAAGAGAGAGGAGAGAAGGTCTGTTCCTGTTTCTTACCGGGAGTTCTGGTTATGAATGGTGTCAGGGTGTCTAAACCAGTGAAACCATTACTCCCATTAACACCTCTGCTCACATCGGGACAACATTGTATCATTTAAAAAAAGTGTTGAAAATGTTTGACAACCTTTCTTTAAATTAGACAAATGAAACATGAAGCTGTTGAATCAGTGAAACTGATAAATGATCTGAAGCCTCTAAAAGGTTTTGTTAACGAGTTCTTTAGATCTGATGTTCACTCTTCTTCTGTGTTGAATCTGCGTCGTCTCCTCTCGTCTTTCAGCTGGCCATCGATTACGGGATCAAGTTTTTGGAAACCAGCGCAAAGTCCAGTATCAACGTGGAGGAGGTGAGTCCTGGTCGGAGATTTCACGTCGCTACTTTATGGAAGCGATAATAATCCCGTTTTCTCTGCTCCTCAGGCCTTTTTCACACTCGGCAGAGACATCATGACGAGACTCAACAGAAAGATGGTGAGTTAATGTCACACACACATCACAAAGCAACATGTCTGCTCACGTAATGAGCGAATTGATGAACAGAGATGGTCTGAAAATCAAAACATCTAGAATAGTAAGAAGTCAAGCTGTTTGATCCTCAGGTGTGTTGATGTGGCTGAAGACTCAACTCTTTGTTTTTTTTTCCTGCAGAACGACAACAACCCGCCAGGAGGAGGCGGGCCGGTTAAAATCACAGAGTCTCGATCTAAAAAGAGCTTCTTCAGGTGTACACTGTTGTAGGAGGAGCTCCCACTCTCGCCTCCTCCTCCTCCTCCTCCTCCTCCTCCTCCTCCTCCTCTGGCTGCTGCAGAACTGAACCTCCCACTGCAGGAGGACGTCAGCCGAGAATCAAACCTGTGGAAATCATGAAGACGTCTTCATGTTGAATCTGCTCCCTCAGGAGCGTCTCTGCTTTTTAATCAGCTCAGAGCTCAATGCTCCCCTCCTGCACGCCTCCTCCTGTTTGTGTTTTTAATTTGCATCCTGAGAGGACGCCTCCCCTCCCCCCTCCCCCCTCCCCCTTCGATTTGACGTCTTACTCTAAGAGGACGACGGCTCTCAGTCGATGCATCCTCCCTCTTTGAGGACATCTTAATCCGAGGAGAACATTTTTCTCTGAGTGGACGTCTGTGTTTGACTGTTTTTGTTCCGCTAAATGTCGCAGCAGCTCTGCAGAGTTTTGTTATCTGCAGGCTGGAGGAAGAAAGACTGGAGCCTGCCGAGGACCTGATCAGATAAGTGATAATCATTAACGATGAATCTTCAGAGAGGACTTTAGACGGTCACAATCATCACTAACACGTTTATATTTGTGTTAACAAAGACAAAGATCGGGTTATTCTACATATTGAATTGAGTCTATAATAACCTCACATATCGGGACGTTAAATGAATAAATCATGTGCATCAAACCAGAAGAATATGACACATTTCAAACAATCGACGGATTATTTAACAACTCATTTCATGTGACATTAACGTGTGTCCTCTTTTACCGTTTACAACTTTATTATCAAAACTTTTAGTCATTAAGATTTTTACAAATATATTTAGTTTTTTTATGATTCTATCATTTCAATGCAGCATTCACTTTATGAATCTTTCTGAAAGTATCAACCTGAAGTCTTCAATCAGCGAGCACTGAAATAAATATGTTGGCAGAAACTCCCGATATATTATAAACTATACAGGATATATAAAGTATATGACATATTATATTTCAGATCTTATTTTATCTAAACAGATATAAATATTATTAATGTGACGGCTGCTGCGTTTTGTTTGTTAAATCGTCTCTGCAGTTCGTTCTCCTCGTCAGAGTCTTTCTGCTGTCAGCTTTCAAACTTCATACCTCCAACAGGTTTCATTATTCTGTCTTCTTCTGTGGTGCAGGATCAGGAGCTCCAGCCAAACTGGACGTTCTGAGCATGCTCCACGCTGGTCGCATGCTGCATTCATGTGCTGCTCGGGTGGTCCAAGTTTACGAGTTGGGAAGTCGTTCTTCCGACTTTAGTGTGTTCAGGTGATTTAAGTTTGGAAAGTCGGAATGTTGTAACAAAAAGCGTTACTGTAAAAAGTTATATTTGAGCAAAACGTTGATGTGCAATACCTGAATTAATAAAAAAGTATGTTAACGTTAAAAAAAAAAGGAAATTGTCCCCCATTTGATGACGATTCTGACATCAAGTCGGGAAGTCGGGCACCTTAATCTTTCCTGAGTTTCCGAGTTGTTGTTCCGACTTGAGCAGGTGTTAGTGTGCTTTTTAGAACTCGGAAACTCGTTCTTTTTCCCGATGTGTCCGACACCACATGAATGCAGCATACGACCCAGAAGTCGAACAGTTAAAATGCGTAGCATATCAGAAGTCATGTTGATTTCTCCCTTTGGATATCATCATAAGCTTTAGGGATCGTGTGCATCACATTTTTTAAGAACAGTAAAGAGTAGTCGGTATGAATTGTTAGTTCGACATCCCACCACCCCTTCGCCTTTTTACCTGTAACAAGATCACCTGGACTAACGAGCTAAAAAGGGGCTTACTGCCACCTACTGTAGTGGAGTCAGACATACTTCCTTCAATAAATCGATTCTCCCCCCGGTGCATGAATACTGGGACAAGAACAGAAGTCCAAAGAAATAACCTAATGGAGCTGTAACCGTAGCTCGACTTCACTGTGCATGTAAACGATATATTAACTAATATCGGCCGATTCATTGGTCGGGCTCTATTTCTTATTGTGAAATATGTTTAAATCTTTACACTGACATATATATAGTAAGACTCATGAGAACTCTGAGGACTCGGAAAGCAGAAACATGAATCTGTCTCTCGTTTGTGTCGGATCAGCTGCAGCAGACGGACTCTGGTTTGCAGATAAAGTTATTGATGCCTTTTCTTCATTTTTATATTTCATGTAGCTTCAACCACTCGACTATCTTAAACAGCAGCCCTCTGATAATTTACTTTTTAACATTTAACAAGGGATTTTTATCACAAGTTAGTTTAAATTGTAGAAATCTTAAGTATTTATGTTTGACCCGTGTGCAGCTTCAGTCCGTCCAGACTCTCAGTTCTGTTTTCTGATCTTAATAGTTACATTTATTTGACTCACTGGTGAATTACTGTATTTTGAGTTATTAACGCAAATGTATGAAACCAATGAGTGTGTTAATTGTTTTAATTGAGTCTCAGTAGTGATTCCTTTTTAAAGAAATGATCAGAAACTTTGGTGTTAAGTTCATCGTTGTGTTTGTAAAACTTGTTAAATACAGTTTGCTGTACAAAAAAACTCAAATTTGTTTACACATGTGTGACAGCGCTTCTAGTTTCTCTCACACTTCAATCTGTTTGTAGCGTTACAGGAAAGCCGTCTTCCCACAGTACAGATTACTTTCTCGTCATTTCTGAAGACTTTAAACAGATTATTCATGAGATGAATAATTATGGTTATTTTGTGTTTTAAAAATGACTCAGCGTTAACCCCTCCACCATCAATAAGACTTTTAGGAAAAATTGAATCTTCTGTTTCATAAATAGTAAAAACTACTACTACAGAACTTAAAGTCATCGTCTAACAGGAAGTAGCCACCTTCTTGCAAAGCATGGATAAATTGTGTTTTCTGGTTTTGATCAGGGCATGGCGGTCGATATTTACACAAACTGTGGAGTCGGACGTCTTCATAGGAAACTTCTTTCTTTACAGGCTCACTGCAGCAGTATTACTAGAATTATTCTTTTGTATCATTATCAATCTCGCCTCCTGCTGCACTTTATGTTCTGTGTGTTTTTAAACCAAGGTGCTTTAACATACAGTAATGTCGAAACGTTTCAGACATAACCCGCCGATTAATAACGGTCTGTACTCGCTTTTCTTACCTGAGCTGAATGGAAACATTGTTGATCTGTTAGTTTTTATTCGTCCCTTGTTTGACTTTGTTCTTTAAATATAATTTTTTGACATCCTGACTGATCAATCAATTCATAGTTTTCAAAGCAGACAAAAAAGGGCTTCATACTGCTGCACGCTACGGAGAAGATACCGGCCTCAGTTGCCACCTAGTATTTTTAAGCAGCTTGATTTGTTGTTATTGAAATGGAGAAAGTTGCTGTTGCACAAACGGAGGAGGAGACTCTCCAGGTTGTACGACAGAAAACCTAAGGAAGAAAACTCAGAGAGGAGGAGATTGTGGATTAATGTTACAAGATCTCCCTCGAGAGATTAAGAAACAGACTTCCCTCATCCTGCCGTAAAGTATTGTTCACTTGATCAAAATATTCCGGCCTTTTAACTAACTTTACTGCAGAACACTGACTGACAGTGATCCTGATGTGGTCGTTAGCCAACATTAACTAGCTAATGTTAGCCAATTAGCACTCACTGATGTGTTGATGCTTCACTTCCCAAACGGCAGCAGTATCACTGACCCAGCCACAGCGAAAATACATAAAGCTGTCTGTACTTTTGGAGGTTTTTATCGTGGTGACTATGTCAGGGGAAAGTAAACATCACTGAAGCGAAGTTCTGGCAAGGACTTTACTCTTTAGTATTTGAAATAACGTCACAAGGCCCTACAAATGTGCAGTTTATCAGTTTCTGTGGTTGTCAGGTGATGTAAACATGCATTGTGGATGAAGAGATAGAAAACTAAAAATCCCGTGCTGCAGCTTCACAGTGTTCAATGGTGGCCACCAAAAAGCTTTTTTCCCCCTCAAGCCCTGAGCACAAGTCGTGACTGAAAGCTATGAATTTGATCGATCACTCCAAATGAAGGCTGTTGATGTTTATGCTCTTATCACATTCAGTTGCTTCACTTTTTAACATTTTTACCGTTTCACACCCAAATAGGAATTAAACAAAAAGTGTCTTTAATCAGCAGATCATTAAGTAAACAGTGTTCATCTGTGTTTCTGAGGCCTCTGAACTTTACATCATTTGTTTATTGTAAATTGCTATATTTTGATTTTTTCCAGCACTTTGTAACTTTGATAAAAACATCGCTATGCAAATATACAATGATTATTATTATAATTTGATGTGTCTGAATTGTTATCTGATGTGTTGAAAGGCCGCATAGGGAGCTGCAGGAAGACATCCAAAATCCTCAGTAAAGAAAAATGGCAGTCCTAAGTTAGTGAGATGTTTTTGCAGCATGGCTGGTTAAAAACCAACTGATTACATTTGTGCCATTTTGTTGAGTTTGAAAAAAACAAAAAACAGGGACAGAGAAGTGAATAAAGACAAATGAAGGCTCTGAATTTAAAAGCCAGATGTTTACAATCATTTGTAGAAAATAAACAACATGGACTCCCAGAAGAGTTTATGCTGTCCCTTCTGTCTTTGATCCCTGGAAATAAATGTTGAAAGTCGCTCTGGTTGCCCCGCTGCATCCACTTTGCCTTATTGCCTGTCTTCCATTTCCTGCTCTGTGATGTCATGGCAGTATCAGCTGATCATCCAATAAACAACTTTTTTTTAATCACTTGTCGGAGTGGTTTCATTGGTCCTATTGTTACTTTTGTTGTTGTTGAATTCCTGGCTGTGTTTTCACCCTTTTTGTATATTAAGCCTGCAGTTTCTGCTCTCTGCCTGTAGTGGGCGGCAGAGTTTCCGATTCCCCAAAAGTAACAAAAGAAACACAAAACTGTTTAGAAAATAAAGTTCAGTCATTAAAATCATAATCTTAACTCACTCAAATGATGCGTCCAGTGTTTAATTGACCAATGGAGTCTCTCCTGCTCCGTCATGGTTCTGGTCCAGGATTAGGGCCAGGTGAAGCTGTGGTCCTAATCACCTGTAACCCAACAGGAAGAAGTATTTTAGCATCGCATATTTAATAAAATAAAAAACAAATTATTTATGGGAAAAATTATAGAAGAAAAAAAAAACAATTCTGCACAAAAAAAGTATTTAGAGCAAGTGTGTGTGTGTGTGTGTGTGTGTGTGTGTGTGTGTGTGTGTGTACTTGTACTACTATCTCTGTGAGGACCAACATACATTTGTAGTCTCGGAAGTGAGGACATTTTCGCAAAGTGGCAACATTTAGGACAGTCCGGACTTTTTAGGTGGTTCCACATAAGGACTGACCTTTGTAGGGCTGTAAA